CTTAACTTCACCCCGCCCCCATGGACCTGTCATTGTTCTCTTGACATAAGCGATTTTGTGTTCCCACAACTCATGTATCCAGTGTGGCAGGTCTGTCTGTCCTCAGCCCGTTCCCATTGGCGGACGCTTACGATTGGCTCAATTGCCTTATCATAACTTCGGTCACACCTCTGTGTTCATTTGTTTCGTGTGCACCTTGGCTTACGCACCTTTTGTGGAACTGATTGAAATCTGTTGGTAAACTTTTGTGTTTGGAAAACCGATAAGGTAATGTCTACTTTGGAACGGTGAATTTGTACAAATAGCACCGTTTTCGCAGGTCCGGATCTGGTCTTTTGTTGAATTTTCCGGTGGGAAACGCGTAGCTTAAATTTCCAAACGCCTTGTAGCGTTACATGTGGTACGATTGAGACAACATTTTTCTTCAGTCAGCCCAACACCGTTCCGATTCAGCCTTCGAAATCAGCAAGTCCACTCTGATTTGCATACGTGCCCTTTCGTTTTTTTGCGTGTCGATGCAATGTGCAATCCCTTGACACCATTGAATGAGGGTCCTTTCAAAGTTGTTACTTGCAAAGAGGAATACTTCGTATTGGATAGAAACGGTTCGAAGGATTCCCTCAGCCTTGATCGCTTAAAAACAGCGTACGTCGAAACTAAAACCTCACAACAAGCTACCGAACAGACGTTTCCAAATACCCCTCCTACCCAGCCAATGTGTGAAACCTGTGTATCAACCTCTAAATCCCCCATTGAACCAGTGAGTGAACAATACGCACCAAAGCACACACACTCGGGACGCTCTGTTGTTTTCTTTTCCAAACTAATGACTACCAAGAACACATAAGTTTCGAGCGTTCGTTCTTCTGACTCACGCACTAGGAGGGGTCCTGTAGTGTATATAAATTCTTCACATTTTCATTTTATCTTCCTATTCTATTTTCCGTCACTTTTTGTACAGTTGTTTTCGCTCACACAACAAGATATTCTCGCATCTTCGAATTTCGTTCGTCTTCTGGTTTCGGTGACGTTGTGCATCCTTCGATTGTTGTGTACGCTTCGCATCGGTCGTCGGATCTCTATTTACGGACCAGCGTTCGATTTCTCTGTTGGTGCCATCAGAGAGGTTTGCTGATTTTTACCTATTGTAACCTGACCGTGAGCAATCATGCTAAGGTCATATTCGACGTAAACCTTTAGCGGTTATAACTCTCTATCAGACACTAAACCCCCGCTTGTTAAGTAAATCAATCTTAAATACTGTGAAAGCGTAGTTTTCTCATGTATTAGGGAAGTAAGTGGCTTGCATGTGTGTATGGTGCACGTGTTTGTATGAGACACACCGACGACATCCGGACTTTGTCCACGGGCTTCGAAAAGAAGGTTGGTTCTCCGATCGCACTCAGCACCCTACCACATACTCCCTAGCTAGTCATCTTCCAGTGCCCTATATTTAGTCTTAAGATTTATTAACCTACTCATAAACGTTTTCTAGCTTATTTCTGTGTGTTCCGCCGCATGCCTTTGGTTGGCCATTTGAATCTGAATTTCGTATAGATAACGTTAGACCAACGCGCTATAGACTGGTTCTACGTATTCGGTAAAATCAGAGCAATTCATTTGGGTTGTTATGTCACTTTGATTCTAGTTAACCTATGCCACCTCACTTACGGTGGAACATCAAGGCAAAGTTCGTGTATATCAGCCTTCCTCTAATCATTCGTGCACATTTGTGATTACCAAATTTACCGCTAAGTGGAAACACGTTCAGCGACGACCGTTGTTACAAGTGAACCTTGCGCCCATATAGTCACGTGAGGTAGGGTGTGAGTGGAACTCAGGTCCCTTGTCAGAATCGGAAGTTTGTCGTCAGTTAGCGTAGGACACACGAGCACACGCGGTTTGGCTGGTTTATTGATCAACAGTGGTCCCTGTGGAGCTAAGCTTTTAACATGGCCTGCAGTGGGTAGACGTCAGCGACTTAGGGTCTGCGTGGATAAAGGCAATCTTATGACACAAAATGTCTCGTAGCTTCCTTATAAATGTCACTGTAGGATTAATGCTAGAACCGCCAGATAATGCGGTGAATCCTTCATCGAACGTAGTTTCGCAACTGAGTGTTGTTTAAAAACCACGAGTTTGCACCTGTAAATGTGAGCACAGAGCGTGCTAAAACAGCTTGTGTTACGTAATTTACGATCTGCAGGAAATGTCTGCTGAATACGGGAAGTTAACAGAATTCGACTGCGCTAGATGAAGATGGAGCATATAATATCCGTGACAGAGTAGATCAAATTGACTGAGTGACCACTAGCCAACAGTAGTATGAAATAATTAGAGTGCATATTTATCCCCAAGGACAGATCGTGGCTTTTACACAGTAGCTTAAACACCAGAACTTACCAATACTCTTGGTTTGGAGCATTTAGCAATAAAATCGGAGGAAGCTTTCTATGCCATGTACCGGTTCTTATTCGGCCGTGCATATATTCTGCTAAGTCAAGAATAGATCTACGCTTATTAAAGCAACCAGTCTTGTTTAAAAATTTGTTAAATGTTCTCCCAAAAACTACCTCGCTTCTACTTTGCTCCTGAAACATACTTAGGGGCGAGTACTTTAGAGGGTTGCCTGTACCGGGAGCCCAGAGAGCGATTCGAGAAGACGGATCGAGTTGCAGGGAAACTTTTATTGGTAAAGTAAAAGATTCCCTGTTTTCTAGCTATAAAAGAACGACACCGTGGACGCTCTAGCTAGGGGACTGGAGCAAACACAGCACACAGGGCAGTTGCGAGTTGCAACCGAAACGAGCGCCAAGCAAAAATGCCGATGAGCAAGTCCAGCATTCGAACTCAGCAATCAGTTCAACAAACCACACCGGTTGCCTAGGTGTACAATTAAATAATTTTAGTTAGAAGTTTACACAGGCAAACCGGGGAATCTCTAGACTGCTACAATACTGAGTGAAGAATTCCGTTTACTAAAACGTTCGTGAGACTGAGACGTTTACATAACAATGATCAAATATTAAATGTGCAGTTTTAGCACAAACGTTAGCTAAGATATTTAACTCAAAGTCAAATAAATAGGGCAAGCTGTCAACGAAGGTAGTAGGATAAGTGCGAGGGTAGGATAATTATCTACATAAATGTGATAGGCAAGCAAACGTTAGCAGGGACAACAATCGTATGACTATGTAACAATAGTTGTGCGCCATGGTAAAAGTAGCAGACAGGTTAATTACGTTTGTACGCACAACTCGGGCTTAAAGTAAAGGATATATATGTCTTCACTGGCATTCGCGTCAGAAAGGTTCAGTAATAAAAATGATGAGTCTGAACTGGCTTTAATGGTCTGGATGATACTACTCAAGTAGGTGAGACAAGATCGTGCTATTGAAAGACCTTGCCTAACCACTGTGAAACCGCCTAGAGATCCGCCTACGAATCCTATGGGAGAGGTGCCTTGTAGTACGAAACAGGATCACGCGTACTGATAAACAAGCATTGATGGACTCAGCCTAGACAGTTCCTGTCAAAGGTTTATGTGAGTAGAGGCTTGTTGTAATATACTTTACGCCGGCCATCAGCGAAATAGACGTACACAGAAGCGTCTTTCGGGGGTTATGAAAGCGTCACTGTCGCCTTTGAAATGCAAATGTATAAAACGATCTTTCCAGGATACCTTCATCCTGGGTGGTCTCATCTTGCTTTTGTAGATGGAGTTAATCGGATACATATATGTTCTTAGAGCGTCGCTGATACACTGCAGTCAATCGACTACGGCGTTCGGTGTGTATATACCGCACACAAAAATAAGGGTTCAACTTTGATTCCGTTTATATTGCGGTGGTACTACAACGTACAGATTAGGGTAATGCCTAGACCAAGTGTGATTTCTATACAACATCATACTGCAAGATATGTTGAGGTTTGTGATAATGCTTATGTTCAGAAAAGGCAGTCGGTCTCCAGACTCCTGCTGCTAAACGAAACGCAATTTAGTAAAAGTTTTAACAGCGTCACATCCCTTCTTCTGATTTGCAAGTTAGAAAGATGCCACTCACTTAACGCAAAAACATCTTGACTTTATTTATATGGGACATTAGAGACAAATGATCAAAGTTTATCAGTGTAGTGCCCAAAGGATAATTAGCTACTATGTACGATTTCATTACCGCTCGACTGCACAGTAATCGTTCTTGTTTTACCGCTCCGCACCCCTCGTCCTTATCCACTCTACTTATCTGCTCGCTGCGTTACTATGGTGACGCTCGCGTATGTTCGTTTTATCTGTCCGTGTCTTCTTATAACCCTTAGAATATAGTCCGATATATTCGACTTCACTCACCTTAAGATATTAGCACATGACTATGTACTCTGGTCAGAAATTGTACTTCCTAGTCATAAATCATAAAAGCGTCGGAAAACAAAAGCCTGTAGGCATGAAAATCTGACGAAAGTTCCTTTGTATGGAAGGCCGCATACCTTAGCGAAATTTCTAAAGACTTCAGCTCTTGTTTCATATCATATGTTAGCTGTTACATTCAGTATACAAACCGGTATAAAATCTACGCGCAGATTTCTAGGACAAATAATAACAGAAACAACTTCAATAAATTTATATAGAAAGCAAACATATTTACTATATGATCATGAGTTCAGACCAAACGTTCTTTTTTAATCTCTTCTCACACCTTGGTATTAGCATTATTTAGCTGATAAGCTTCCCCTTGTTATTTTTAACACACCATTCACTCTCCTACTTCACATAAAACGCCTGGCAGTGACTGTCGGGCAAGAAAATGTGGGCAGTAATTGTTTGGACAGGGTGTGATGCGGACCTCGTTTCAGGCTCTTCAACATCTCAAGCAGATCTATCAATTCCCAATCCAACGATACGCAAAAGAAGGAACATTCAAGGGATTATTTTATAGTTGCGGTCTCAACTGAACTTGAAGTTGATCATTCGTGCTGGTGGAGTGCCAAATTATTTGACTTACCTTAAAAAACCATGACCAAAATGCCTTGAGAACATCTCCGCTTCGTTAAACATTGACCTTGTTGCTGCTTCAAAGACGTTGTCTATAGCCCTTGAAACTTCTGTAAACACGTCGCGTGCTGGGTGGATTGAGCATCGCTCAAGGAAATTGGACGTTTCCCGCCCATGATTCGGACGAAGACGTGACTGTTGCAAGCCAACCGATGGTTCAAAAAATGACGTATTAAATAAAGAGCGGACTATATCATCTCCAAACATCATAAAGATATCGCAGTAAGTATTTCAATGCGAAAAAACAGGCGTTTGGTTGGCCGCATTGGTTGCCATGTAGTCTAACAAGTAAAACAAATAACCATCTTTGTTGTTTTTTGCCCAAATAGCTTGGATCAAACAGCAAACTATTTAGCTTTATAACCATGACATTACTTTTTGTAAATGTACCTACCTGAATATAATTAACTTCTGTTCCAATCCTGGGAAATAGTGGGCCTTCGTGGACTGGAAAAGAGCGTTCATAAAGGAACCTGTCAAGGAACCTGCTAAGTAACATAAGTGGAATTTAAGCATCTAAATCTAAATAACAATAGCTAGTGCGGATGAATTATTGGGGTTGGACGTGCTTATTATTTGGTTTAATTGGTTTATCTTACCGGGATTCTAACCAACCAGTTAGGCACATAAGCTGATGAGGGTTGTACGGTAAGCTAGGCTAAAGCTTAGTTAGGTTGACAGAGAAGGGAATTATTTATAAATGGAAAATGTACATGGCAAGTACGTCTACTTGCTGATATAAATGGATGACAAATTAAACTCACCTGTTGTTGTTCAAGTGGATAACAATGGGCAATAAATCGCTGTGGCGCCACCTTAGAAGCCGTCATCATGGCGGAAGATATGGATACGTTTAAGCGTTTGTTGCCTGGGTTTTCCCTTAAGCTTGCTGACATGAAGGAGGACGTGACGACATTTTAACTAGCGACTGCGACGTAATTATTCAGGCGGCAAGTGGTGACTAATTTTGCCCTCGAAATGAACTTGTAAGTAACTTCCTTACGAGTATTTTGATAAAATTAACTTGGTTCCAGCCGTTTTAGGATCGCTGTCATCATGACAAGCGTTTTTTGACCTACCACTAAAAACTTAGGTTGTGCCGTCGCTGAGCCACGTGGAAAACGCATCGTTGGAAGTCTGCTTTTGGTGTTATTCCAATAACCAGTGAACGGCATCAAACGAGGCCATGTTCCCCGTTTTCCTGTGCATACTCCTTGCAGCCTCTAACCAAATGAAAGAAGCGTATGTTAATACAGGAAAATTCAGTGACCTTATTACTACTCTTTCTTTTTCCGGTGTAAACGCAAGAATCGATTATCGCGTCGAGGTGCTAGCATGTTTACGTGCATATTTGAACGCGAAACGTGATGTTGGTTGAGCTAAAGCGTATTTTGTCCCTGGATCCTCTGTCCTGACTCTTTAAGGTTTCTGAAACCTTGGATGGTTACTCGTCCTTTGAGCACTGGACGTTACCCAGCTACTCGCATCTTGTGCGCCATTAATCATTGGCAAAAGACACATTTAGTTTGATTTGTTGTGAGTTGCACAGTTCGGTGGAACTTGTCTGCGTGCACCCAGTTTCTTGGTTGTTGTGCCTCAGCTATGTTGCAAAGAACCTGTCGTCACATGCTTGGAATTCACGTCGACTTTGCTTCGCTCGTTACGATTTGGTGAGTCCATTTCAATACATACGTAGACAATATATCCCGTCGAAAAGAAACTGAACGTTGTGGATTCATCTCATAAGTAATTCCTTCAAGCTTGGTAGGGGTATAGCTAAATGAATGCTATTATCGTGCACATAGTTGCATAAATATTCCATTGGCTCTAGTGGCGGGACAGTCGTGAATAAAGAAGCTACATCAAGTGAGAAACTTCTCTTCCCCTTCCGATTCGTGCACCGGGGCTCTTGTTCGCTACCTGTAAGAAACAGGACACTTGTTAGGCGGCGGCCTGTATCGTTTCTGGTACCTGACCTGCCCACTCGGTGCTAGCGACCACGCTTATCGGTTGCTTAAGTACACTGTTACTTGTTTGGCGAATAATCGTTCCAACTAGGTCCATACATATGGCTCCCCACGCTCCCTCCGAGGCCCTATTCGAAGTAACGGCCTTCCTTCCCACAGTTTTTGGGGTGTAGGCAGTGAGGCTGAGACTGTGAGACTGAGACTGCATTTAAGAGCAAGTAGAAAAGTTTCTGTTCAAGCCTATCGAATTACGAAAAATCAAAAACATTTAGTTGTGAATAATCAACAGTTGCGTCTGTGCCGTTAATCGTTTATTCTTGTTTGGTTAGGAATTTGCACTATTGTCAGTATTTCCGGGCATACAATGCCTGCATACAATGGCTGGCTAGCCGAACAACCTCCTCGTGGTGCCAGCTGGGTGATTCGGGTTTAACCCGTTCCAGCAAATAGTTCGGCGGCAGTGTTCCAGGACGTGGTGGGTTTTCGCTTGGCAAGCGTTCTCCCTATAAAAAGCCACAAATGTCTGTTTAACATCACTGCGACGTGGCGGATGTGCCTCGCCACAAACTAAAGGCCCTGGCCCGTGGATATCCGGAAAGTGTTATCCAACCCACAGAAATCAATCGCTTATGCTCACATTCCTGATGATAACAAACAGTCAAACATGCTGCGGCATTTTCAAAGACACAAGCTACATTCGTACACAATTACATACATATATACACCCATACACTCACATACACTGTTATGCCAAACATGTACCTTTTGTACATTTTTGCTCACACTATGTTAGCTAAATATGATCATGCCTGTAAAGGTGTGCCTCGTCTCGTCGAGAATAAAAGTTTATTTATTTATTTATTTCTTTTGGCAGTGTGTGTGCATCTTTTCTCAAAAGCACAGCTTTCCGAAATAATCGTCGATACGGGTTTTAAAATCTTCACAGAATCGTCCTCTATTAATTCTTCGGGTAGTGTATTACATAACTTTACGATTCTTCGTTCGATACAAAGCTGATGTGATATTATGTTCATGTTGGGGCCCTGAGTTTGTAACAGTGTCCTCGGGTGTTACAGCGTTCCCGCAGGTGAAGTATTGGCCGCAGTATGGAGAAGTGATTTAAGTGTAGTACTCGAGGGGTCATAATAAGGTCAATTCTTACCCGGCGATAGGATACTGTGTAGAGTCGGAGCCTTTCACAACGTTTTTCATACGAAAGCTTTTGTAGACTCGGTATCATTCTAGTTGCGATATGCTGTATTTTCTCCAGCTTTACAGTTTTCCATTGGGTTATCGGATGGTAAGCTGGGGCACCGCATTCAAGGATTGGTCTAATGAGCGTGGTGAATAGACGGGGGACGGTTTCTTCGGACCATGTGGAAAAACTGCGTCTTAATGCCCAGAGCATAGGAAGTCCCGCACGGTACAGCCACTCCGTATTTTCTAGTGATCTCATATCATGTCGTGAGAGAGCTCCTAAGTCTCTGACAGATATGTTGGGATGGAGCAACTGGCCGTCCAAGGTGTATGATCGAGTGGCTGGACGTCTAGTGATACGGATGAACTCAGAGTTGCTTGCTTTAAGCGGGAGTTGCGCTTCAGTGGACCATGTTGACAGCCGCTGTAAGTCATGCTGAAGGCGAGCACTGTCGTCTTGGTTCCCAATGATCCTCCGGATTTTCAAATCATCTGCAAACAGGGCGCATGGCGACTGAAGCTGCTGCGGAAGCTCGTTGATATGAATAAGCAATAATACTGGCCCAAGTTACAACCATACAAGGCACACACTTCCTTTAACTGGACAAGAGCGGAAGATTATCAACCCTTTTACAACTCACTGATTGGACAACTCATTCACTGTCGTGCACGGATACAATTTTTCCGAGGCTTGAACCATTGGGTTCAGTTTGACTAACACTATCTCTTCCACCTATCACATGCCTGGAGATCTCCTTTTGACTTCGGAAGGCACAGTCTCCTGCCGATACAAAGCCAGAACAATTGGTCATTCTGAGCTCTTCAGTCCGCTTTGACGGCTCAATTGACCGTGGTTTCCTATATTTCTAATCAATTTTACTATATACCCCGGGGATCTGCGATTCTTTCTTCGGAACTATATCCTAACCTTCAAGACTTCAATGTATTTCAATGTATATCCCTCGGAGACTTTACGTGGTTCTGCAGACGCTCAACACATCTTATTTAGGAAGAATGTTTAGTTTTCGACCTACCAATCAGGCACGGGACAGGACCCAGGAACGCAATAGACACTCGCCTAACGCATCAGCCAGCATAAAAATAGGACTCAACTTGACTGCGAATGACCGAGCAAACAAACGCGCAACCATAAGCATAGTCAGTCACCACTTGACATTCAATGGATCGGCGGCAGTGTTTCAGAACGTCGTGGGTTTTCGCCTGGCACGCGTTCTTTCTAGAAAAAGCCACCAATGCCCGTTAAAAACGTTGCAATGTGGCGAATGTGACTCGCTACCGAATAAGGTCACAGCCCATAACTGCACACTGGTAGGTCAACTAGCATCACTATTCTAGATAGGTTCGTTACACTGGAACTTCTACATCTGCATATACGGTCGTCTACACTTTCTACGAATTCACGCAATATAATGTCGTCTTTTGCTTCTACGATATCACCGTTGACCTTTTCGTTGCCTATGCACGAACTCACTGTATTGTCATCTCTCTCTCGAGCGTACTCCATTTATCTTCCAATGGATCATTCAGGATTCTCATTCTATTATTAGCCGTGGTATGGCTGCAACATCTGGCTGACCGATTATGTCCTAACAGTGGGTCCCGATCCCACGACAGCCAAATTATTGCTTCAAATTTTCACAATTGTACAGTTCCAACCATGGACATATGAACAAATTTCAACTGTCACTTTTACAATTGCCATAAAATGTCTGTACAGTTGTACGTACCTGATCATGCCTCAATGGGCGTGCCTTGCATAGTAGGAATAAAATATTTATTTATTTATTTAAGTACAGTTCCTTGAGGCACGTCACTACTCGATGAGAACCAGTCTGCCAGGTAGTCATTGACCTGCACTCTAAACTTTCGTCCCACAATAAACTCGCATAACCCCTGAAGTAACGTGCCACCGATTCAGTATGTCCTAAGTTTACCAAGGAGTACCTCGTGGTTCACTCTGTCAAACGCCTTATTAAAGTCGATGTACACCACGTCAACATCCTTCCGTTTGTTAAGAGCTCGTACCCACTGGTGGTTTGCATACATCAAGTTAATGATGCAGGACCGCCCTTTCGTAAAGCCGTGTTGCGCCAGCGTCAATACGTACGTCGATTGGAAGAACGACAGCAGACTCCTTTTACCAATCTATTCGAGCGCTTTGGTTAATATGGAAGCCAAACAGA